CTGCCAGTACTGAAAATCTATAGTGCACGTAACGTAAACTATAGCATTTTCTGTGCTGGCAGTAAATTTGGAACACAGCCTTAGTCCACGACCTATATGATAGGTGTCTTTGTTTAACCTACAGGATAAACAAAGACATCTATTGTATAGGTCGCGGCCTAAATGCACGGTGTAAACGTAGTCAATGAGCTCGTAATTCTCTTTATATATGTTCTGCGCTGCTCCCTGGCGAGCGCAACGCGTCTTACCTACTTATTTTTCTAAAGACATTCATTTGGAACCATTCGCTCGTGAGCAGCCGAACAGTGCGGACATATTTTCGCCTGCGCTCTTGGTCTCTCGTGCTTCCTTGGCTTTGGTCTGCCTTCCTTTGCCTGCTGTGCCCTCCTTGTGAGAGCCCTCCTTCCTCTACATCTGTGAGTACGCTCATTTCTACCTGCTTTTGCTCTAAGGTGACCTATTGTTCCTGCTATGCAGGACAATACCCCCGCCGCCCCGGATCCCGGCGGCGGCTTGGGATCTGCTAACCAACGTCTCTCAGCATCTCTTGACGATTTCAATTCCTTCTTTGTGCATGCAAACGGTGGTCATGATAGTGATTTTGCACCCTCAAAGGCGATGCCCCCACCTTCGACCAGCTATCTTAAATCGCAACCATCCGTTGCGGCTTCTTCTCCCTACATCTCGGAAACGGGTAAAACTAATGCTCAAGGGAAAAAAAGGTAAGAAGGCGAAGGGGGAGGGCCACGAAGGCGTCGCATGATTCTTCTCCCATCGGCCTGTCGTCGTCGTCGACTCGATCCCGCCCTCGGTCGCGATCTCCTTTGATCAACAACTCGAATTGCGAATCTACCACTTCATTGTCTTCCAACGATGATCGTATGGATACGGAAAGCGACGAGACGCGGGGTCGGGCTTCGGCCTCGGCGGTTTCCATTGAGGGGAATCCCGCTCCCCTGTCGTCTGTCGCCGTGACTAGTGAGAGCATACAATCGGGTGATGTAACCGCGCTAATAACACGGGGCCGTCATTGGGCAAGCGGGTGCGTGACGACCCGCCGTCGAATGGGGAGTCCCCGGCAGAGGGTGGTCCTTCTTCTAAGTCCCTGCGCACCGATAGTAAAGATAATAACCACGACAACCTAACCTATGAGAAGGGAGATCGCTCCCCCTTCATTGTCTTTGTGCGGCGTGCGACGCAGGATGCCGGCGAGGACCCTCGCCACCCTGTCTCGGTTGCGCGTATTATCATGCGCTTTGCGAACGGTAAAATCTTAGAAGTCAAATCGTCCGGACGTAATAAAGTCGCTATTCACTTTAACGATCTTAACGCAGCTAATAGCACCCTTACTCATCCCAGTCTTAAGGCCAACGGTCTCTCGGCTTTTATCCCGCCCTTTAACGTTCTCCGCACCGGGGTAATCAGAAACGTTCCGTTAGATATATCTGAAAAAGACGTCGTCAACCATTTCTCGTCGCAGTACAAAATCATCTCAGCCAAGCTCTTGAGTATTAAAACGCGTAAAGAAGGCGAATTAATCACCTCTCTTTCCAGAACAATCATGATCAAATTCCGAAGTCAAAATCTTCCGCGTGCGATTTCATTCATGCATGTCAACTTCCCTGTTTTCCCCTATATTCCGAGGGTGCTAATGTGCTTTTCATGTCTTCGTTATGGACATGTTAACGCGGACTGTAAAAGCAAACCACGATGTTCACGCTGCGGTAATCCGAGACATTCCGTTCCGGAGGAATGCTCCCGGTTACGATTGCCTCCGATCTGTTGTAACTGCGGGGGGAACACCTCCCCTCGTCCTCGACGTGTCCCACCTACATGCGGCACAAACAAATCTATACATTCGCGGCTCTGGAAAATGTATCTTATGTCGAGGCTCGCAACAGATTTGGCGCCTCCTCGTCTCCTTCTCATCCTCCCAACCCCTTTCATTCTTCTCTTTTCCCTTCACTTCCTCAACACACACAGCCCCTCCATCTTGCCCTGTTAACTGTTATCAGGATCTTGTATCCCCAGTCCCTATGAATGATATCTCCGAACTATCGGCCCCATATCGCAATATTGATCGCTCTTACGCAGCCGTTATTGGAGGAACCTCCAACAATGATCTAACCTACACTCCACTAGCTAGTGATTTTCATCCACTCGGTCATCCATTTAATTCATCTGTTCAACCGAACGTTCGTAACAAGGACGCGCTTGCAAATCGTCGGAGCTTCGAGCTCAGATGATCAACTACGTGTAGCTCACAATTCGATACTCATCTCCCCAAACGGTAGAATTCCCAACTTCCCCACTCATCACCTCCCAACTACAACGACTCTCATTCTCTTTTCCCCTCTGTCCCGACCCCATCCCCCCTCTACCCAATCCTCCTCCCTTTCCTTCTTCCTTTGATCCTCAAACAAACGATATCACACGTTTCATTCATTGGATAATCTCTTCAATATTAAAAATTCTCAATATCATCCCCAGCTCGTTACTTAAGTCAATTTTTGGATTCGATATTCTTAATAGCCTCAGCTCCCTCCAAACTCTTATTAACGCATAATGTCTGATCTAAAAGATCTTAAGATAATGTATTGGAACTGCCGCGGCGCTCTAAGCAAAAAAGCTGACATAGAGAAATTGTCTGAATCCTACGACATTCTATTTCTCGCTGAAACTTGCGTCGGACCACTCCACGACTTTCGTGTACGGGGCTTCGATAGCCTTCGCATTGATTCCAATATGGCCAACGTCAGAGGCATGATCGTACTCATTCGAAATCCCATTACCTACTCTCCCATTGATCTCTCTTCCATGATTGACAATTCTATTGAAGAGTTGGGCATCAAACTTTCTTCCAATAAATCTCACTTATTCCTGATTGATGCTTATAGACACCCTAATATACCAACATCGCTCAAATCCATCTCCTCTCTCACCTCCTTTCTTAATAACCATGAGTTCTCCATTCTCCTCGGCGACTTGAACGCCCACCACTCCCTATGGGGCTGCTCACAGATCAGCCCTCCTGGTCGTTATCTCGCTAAATGTATTAACGACCACCAACTAGTGGTCCTCAATCCCCCATTTTCCCCCACATACATATCTTTCTCTCCCCTTCGCACCTCCACCATAGACCTCGCGATAGCTTCTCACATTTCTCCTTTGTGTGATGCTCAAGTTCTTTCTGACCTCCTCGGCAGTGACCACCACCCTATTGTAGTCCACATTAACTGTTTGATTAGTACTTCCTCTGTCTTCTCACATAAAATTAAACTCTCTAAATCACAGTGGGCTGAGGTGAAACAATATCTACTCGACAATTCGTACAATATTTCTCACAACATTAGTTCAGTCAACCCGGACGATCTTATCACCCAGTATAATACCTTATTGGAACTCATCTCTGCTAGTTACGAGCGATTCTCTCCTTCTAACCCTCCTTCCTTCTCTCAAACCTCTCGAGCGTTCTTGCCCAACAAAGGTCCCCCACCTGCTCCATGGTGGACACCTGAATGCTCAGTAGCTATCGAGAAATGCGGCAAGGCTCTTAAAACTTTTAAACTATGCCCCTCTTGGGACAACTACATTTGCTACCGCTCCGTGGTCTCTCAAACGCGCAAGGTACTTCGCAAAGCCAAACGCGACAGCTGAAAAGCTTTCTGCGGCTCCCTCGATAGTATGACTCCCACTTCTGATATTTGGCATATGCTTAAACGCTTCCGCAATCGTTGCCTTATTCCTGCTAACTTCCCTTCTCTGAACAAAAACGCCGACATCTCCGACAAGACTTTGGACTTTTGGACGCCATTGAGAAACTCTGTCCTCCTTTCTGTCCCTCATCTCCTCCTGAGATTCCTCTCCCCTACCAGGGCAAATTGGCCTGGCTGGATGAGCCCTTTTCTATGGAAGAACTATATGCTGTCCTCCAATCTATCAAATCCTCCTCTAGCCCGGGCCTCGATAGGATCGATTACCGTCTAATTAAGGCCTTTCCTACCGAACTTCTCACTTCCCTCCTTTCCATTTTCAATAATCTCTTTCGCTGCTCGATCTTCCCACCACAATGGTCACACTCCCTGGTCCATCTAATACCCAAGTCAAACAATAGCGGTGTTCGTCCTATCTCCCTTACTTCTTGCCTACTTAAAATTATGGAAAAAATGATACTGAATCGCCTATACTGGCTCATTGAGTCTCCTCTCTCGGATCTCCTACCGAATAACCAATTTGGTTTTAGGAAGTTCAGATCATGTCAAGATAACCTCACGGTTCTCGTCGCCAGCATTCACTCTGGTTTCATATCTAAACAAGATACTGTAGCCCTATTCATTGACATTAAATCTGCCTTCGATAATGTTCTCCCCCACATCCTCATTCAAGACCTCCAAAAATTAGAGTTTCCTCCTCTCACGCTTTCCTTTATCAACAACCTCATCTCATACCACACTATCCAGTTTATCAATCAGGACTCTATCTCCGAATCGAGAGCCTCATTCAAAGGTACTCCCCAATTAGGCTCCGTCCTCAGTCCTACACTATTTAATCTTTATTTACGCATGATTAATGACACGCTCCACCCTGATACAGAACTTTTACAGTTCGCGGACGACATCGTGATCTTCTCCTCCCTCAAAGACACGGCGTTGGCAGTTCACTCTGTTGAGCGCTCCCTTTATGGGCTGGAAGATTTCCTACGGAACCGTGGCTTGGAGATATCCTTGCCAAAAACTCAACTTATGATCTTCTCTAACAAAAGATCCCCAGATCCAATGAGCTGGTCTATTTTGTTTCAAGGGCACCTCATCTCTCCTTCCTCCACCGTACGTTTTCTAGGGGTACTGCTAGATTCCAAGCTAACTGGCAAGGCACATATGTTTTACGTCATTAACAAAGGCAAACGCATTCTCCAAATCATCTCCGCTTTCAGAGGCACCTGGTGGGGAGCCCATCCTCACATGTTATTGACTATATACAGGGCCATGCTGCGTGCGTCCATAGAATACTCTGCTCAGATCTTTGGTACCAACAATGATAGCAGGTTGCATCTCCTCCAAGTCATTCAAAACCAAGCCATTCGCCTTTGCTTTGGCTATCGCATTTCTACTCCTCTGAACGTTGTATTTACGGAGTCGGTTGAACTTACACTTCCATTCAGATTCCGTCTCCTGACTTCGCGTTACTTCATAAAGATTAGCTCTGTGCGGGATCACCCTGCCGTTATCAAATTACATTTCCTCTGTGACCTTGCAAGGGCGCCTTCAGATTGGACTACCTACGCGCGCATTTCCCAACCGCTCTTATCTTTCAGCGCATCTGGTCGTATCACTCCATTATGGACTGCTCATTTACCTTACCCAACTATCGACATTCTTTTTCCTCTACATCCATCTCTCCCTCTTACATCTCGCTCTCTCCTCCCCCCTCCTCTTCTTTCCTCCGATCTCCCCGACTCAATGCCTACCATAAACGCTCAACCTCTTTTCACTCTCTTTGATCAGGAATTGGCATGCCTCACGGCAGAATCCACGACGTTTTTTACCGATGGGTCGAAGGTGGATCACGGCACATGCGTTGGGGCTGCGGTTTTCTCCCCTCAGTTACAAGCGGAACTCATGTTCAAGCTCTCCTCGTATACTTCGATATTCTCTGCAGAAGCCTACGCCATATATACCGTCATAACTCTATTGGTCGACCTACACCTACCTAGAGTTACTGTCATTACCGACTCAAAAAGCGTCCTTGAGTCCATTAGGGGATCTCACAACTATACCAATAATTACCTTATCCCCCTTATCAAATCCGTACTCGAAGAAGCCGAAACGAAAGGTACTAGTATTCAATTCATTTGGGTACCCTCTCACAGAGGCATTGAGGGCAATGAAAGGGCGGACCAACTGGCTAAACGTGCAATCAGACAAGGCATTGAACCTAATTTTAAAGTGCCTTACTCCGATCTCAGCGCGGTTATTAAACAACAAACTCTTGATAACTTCTACCTATATCTTGAATCCATGGCGGACATTTAAGGTTCTTACTTTTTCGAAAATATCTTTTCTAAGTCTGCTAAACCTTGGTACTTCCGTAAGAATATCTCCAGGGAGGCCATTGTCATGATCAACCGCTTGCGCTCCAATCATTACAATCTTAATCTTAGTTTATACCGTAAAGATCTAATCGACAATCCCTCTTGTCCCTGTGGCTCTCCACAGCAAGATATCATACATTTAATTTACGAATGCCCATATACTTATAGCAGTGCACGCTACGTGCGACGCATCGTGGATCACGCCCCGCTTGCCGGAAGCAAGTTATATCATTTTCGATTGGGGTGCACTTGCTGCACTCAGTGTCAAGAGCGTGTTCGATTGGCAGTGTCAATGCGCACTTGGCTAGTGTCACGTGTTCATTTGACCGCACGACACTCGCATAGTGCGCACTCAGTGCGCACTAAGTGGCACGAGATATTTTGACGGTGCCAGTTCAGTGCACTGGATATACATATATATATATATATATAGGACATCAGTGCATTATTTTGTCACAGTATAAAAGGATATACAGTAGGGACAAGCAAATCTGTAATTTATAGCATGCAAATGTATACAATTATTGATAAGTATGTACATAATATATATATAATATAATATATATATATATATGATATTCTTGATATGTTATATATTATTTAATTACACATATAGTAAAAAATCATTATTTAAAGTTACGAATATGAGATGTCGAAGTTATTTTTCTGCGTTCTTTCTGCATTTTAGTCAAGTCCTTACAATCTTACAACTCGAAATGGCATTTCAACTTTAGCACTGAAAATCTTGGCGTGTTCTTTTGAACTTGCACTATTCAGTGCAACCCATGGAACTCGCCCAGTGTTGGTGTGAACTGAGTGCGCACTGGTGCGCACTAATTTTTTCTCAATCGAAAACGCTATTAGACTGTTACTTAACGACTGCCTTTATTCTAGATTTTTTCCTAATCGAAAACGCTATTAGATAAATTTTCGCAAATTATTGCTAATCCGTCAGCATCCTTTTGCAGACTCATCCTAAGCTTTAGTAAATCCTGTGGCAGGCACTTTTGAGCTTTGTAGACTCGCGCCAACTCACGACCTGCGCAGGCGCTTTGCCCTGCCTTTCCTCCCCCCCCTCCCCATCCCAGCGAAGCTCTCCTTCGTTATATTCAGAGCACTTGGTCGTGGAGACTTTCTACCGGAGTTACATGCTCCGGGATCGGCGCCTCACTCCGTATTAATCTATATCTTGTACATAAGTTCTGAAGAACCACTCGACCGCGGCGGACGCGTTTCGAATCGGGTGCTGACAATCGTATATTTTTGAAAGTGTTGCCGACTTTGACTGTGCTATCGCTTCTTCCCGACGCGTGTCCGCGAGTTGGCTCGTCTCGTGCGTTCGTCCGGACACGCGTTATTTCGACGTGACGACGTTGTAGACGCAGGCGCCCGGTCCGTTCGGGCAACGCCATTTTCGCGGTCATTGCGTCAGTTTTTGATATTGTAATCCATTAAGACGAGATCTGGCCGTATTGCCTCCGTATACTCCTAAGCGAGGGAGGCAGGAGCCATTAATTAAGAAGAAGAAGAAGAAGAAGAAGTATATCTTGTATATGGTAGAAATACAATATTCTCATCCCGTGGACGAATTTAGAACTCTACTGCGCATCAGCTTGATGACGTCACATTCGTGTAAACTCGGTACTTTTCGGAGCGCTTCGAGTCGATAAAAGATATGGCTGAAGAGGTTATACCATATATGTAATACTACTATATGGCTAGTGAGGCGTGGTTTATATGAGTGCGACAAGAAGAAACATAGAAGGGTAGTAGATGCCCGTTTATTGGTTGTCTGGGAAAGATGTTCAAATCGTTCAAATGCGCAGGCGCGGCGTTAAATTCAACAGCTTTATTAAGCAAAATTAGTTACTTTGTATTTAATACAAAACAAGATGTTAGCAATAGTTTATTATGGTATGAAGAATGGATATATAAAAATACTGTTTTCTGTAAAATCTTTTCAAGTAATAAAGTTATATATTGATATAAATAAAACGTAACGAAGTGAATATGGAGAAATAATATATTAAGAGTATTACTAAACATTATTTCGAAATATCGTAGTAATACTTTTCTATTTTACTATATGTAATTTATTTGTAACGGCAGTTATTTCTATACAAATTCCATACAACAAATTGAGACATGGTGAAGTAATTTGAATGTCGGATTCGGTTTCTCTCAGAGCATAAAAATACATAATACCATTTTGCTCTATTCTCTGGCTAAAACATTAAATTTTTTGTGTGAGTAATTAATAAGATAACGAGCTATTGATTCTTAAATAAAATCAATTTTGTGTATTTACTCCGTAAATATTCTGACTTTTCTGACATTTGCTTTGCTTCTGCAAATAAACGAATATCTAAATACAACGTTATAATTAATTTACAAAGTTGTGTTCTGTGATTATCCAAAGTATCTTGTAACATAATATGATCACGCATATTATCGTTATCAAATGGAATCCCGATTTGTCGAAAAACATCATTAAGCAAAAATTGTTTAATGTTTTTGTTATTTAGACAATGAGAATTTTGCCGTATAATCTTTTCAGCTGTTTTACAAATGAAACAAATATCTGATGCTGGTATCATATATGGTCCTTGATTCTTTATGTTCGATAACAGTGGCATAGTATTGCCTAATAATTGTAATTTACAAGTTGAACAATATATTTTTTTGTACACTTTGTTACACACGTAACCTGCTATGTACAATACGACATTCTCCACAAACGGTGACAAATCCCAAAATGTTTTTACATAATCGTGAGCAAAATCAATATTTAATTCATTGAAATTACTGGAATCATTAATGGAACATTTTAAGTTTGTGCTTGAGACATGCAAAATGTTGATATTGTCAAAAAGGCAGTTACTATTTTCTAATTCTTTTATTTCGTGTCTTATTAATAAACGCTTATATGCACTTTGAAAATTTAACGCATTTGGATTATTGTTAAAACCGCCTCGGGCTCGTATTGCGCTGAAAAAGGTTTCTAAATAATCTTGTGACAATTTATAAGTTAATAGGTACGTTAATCCTACATTTTTTAGTTCGTCATAAAGAGGAAACATATTCTTAATCCAATGATCATACCAAGAAATCCCGTCTTCCTACCGCTTTTTAAAATAGGTGTTCCTGTGTTGTCGTACAATGTATTGATATAATTTTCGAATTGCTTGGCATGTTCTTGTAATTGAGAATAGTTTGATTCTGTCAAAGCAGTATTGTATTCACCTTTCGAAAACCTATTTTTACAGTTCAACATATCTATGATATTGTTGAACTGTAAACAAAAGTGAGCAGTCGGTAAGCAACCATTAAACTCTGTTTTAATAGTATTATCATGCAATGTTGTTACAAACTCTAATGACTTAGAAACACTCCTACTTAATGTTTGCATAGCTAATTTAACATTCATACGATTGTTTGAATATTCAATGTGTTTCTTAGTTAATTTGTTGGCTACTTTAAGACCTTCTTTTTGCTGAAGATTATATAATTTAATAAATTCCCACTTTATAACGAGATTATCTGCAGTTTTTAACACTCTTTTATCGCCAAGAGTACTTCTGACCAATTTGATCATGTGACAAGGATCCAAAATGACGAAACATTTCTTCATTGTAACAGGATTCGTAAAATATGGTTTAAAATTAGATCCGTATTCAAAGTTCGCACCTAGCTTAGTACACATACTAAAGTTACATATTGCACCATCAAATGTTACTGAAAAAACATGTGCCTGGCTGTTGTGCAGCATTTCTAATGCTTGAGTCAGTAGATTAGCTCGTTCTGAGCCATTTAAAGAAGCAATTAGAAAATATCCAATAGGTACTTTCCAATTCTCGTTCATTGATACGGCCATGAACACTAATACCTGTCTTGCTTTTAATGTAGAATCATTATCATCATCTTTATTTGATATTCCGTAATCTATGCCGCCATAAAATCTACCATGACGGTAGATTATTTCTTCTCGTAGAGACATTTCGTCCAAAACAAGATTTACTACGATAGGTTTCGAACCCTTCGCACGTAATTCAATCGCATATAGCGCTTCCTTCGTAAATCCTGGCGATCCATCCACAACTCGATACCATTGTTTAATGGTAGAAGGATGTGGCAGTAGGTATGACCATGCTTTTCTCACAAGCTATATGCTTTTGGTGAGTAAAAGTGTAACGTTAATGCAAATGTACGCAATTCTGGAGAATAATGTTCATTGCATTTTACTTTCCGTGTTATAAGTTCTTTTACATTGCTTGGTAGCATGTTCTGTAAAAAAAATGTATATTACTATTTTTATCAGTACATAATATGAAATTGAAATATACAAGATAACAGTGCATAATAAAAACAAGCATACTGCAAGCAAAAATGTATTATCAAAAGCATTTATGCAATTTGTTTTCTACGTAAATTCTTGCATACACCAAGTTATATCTAACGTACATGTTTCCACTCAACAATATAAATGTAATATAACATATTACGTGTTATTGTATTAGTTATATTGTTGAATGCGAAATTACTAACAAATACAAATGCCTAACCGTCCGAAGTTGCACATGTATCGGAGAAGGTATAAGAAGGAATTAGAAGGTATGAGAATAACTGAGAGGGCATGACAAGACATGGCTAGGCATTTATATCCCCGTATATACGTTACATATAACTTAGTGTTTGCTGGGATAGATATTTGTTATTTCTGAGAAAAAGTAGATTTTGTCACACATGCATTATTTCAGTGTATAATATTCAGAATAGTTTATAGAGTAGAGCTGTTTACAATAACTCTTACCCATAGTTGATGACTGATGCCATTTGTCATTGAGTGAATGAGCCAATACAATTTTAAAGGAATGAGACATTATAATATGTATGTAGTTAAAGTAATAAAATTAATTTTTTTTTATTTAATAAATTAGCCAAGAATACATTTTTCTTTTGTAAATAAATGTAAAGAATTTATCTATAACTCTTTTTACATTTCCATAATCCAAATAAAATATAGTACCGACCAAAAGCCATATAGTAGTAGCCATATAGTAGTAAGCCATATAGTAGTAGCCATATAATAGTATTACATATATGAAAAGTTAAGTACGAAATCGATGAAAAAAATAGTTTCTTTTTCTAAAAGGCTTTTAAACTTCGAAACTAAAAAATTTACGAAAAAAAAGTGAAAAATGTTTGTTTTATGTTTGATTTGTATAAATATTTTCAAAATTTTTTTAGAACTTTTCAATATTAACAGTCAAATAAAGTTTTCAAACAATTCTCTACGATTTTTTTCATTAATTTCTGTACGATTTCTTTTTACCGAGATATTGAACTTTTCATGAAATGCAGAAAATCGCAGACTTTTGGCTAGCTCTGTATGTATAGAGGAAAGTCAGATATCGACTTTTCTATAAGTAAAAAAGTTGATAATTTTGAAAATTGAAATGAACTATTAAAATATAACATACTATTAAGTCTCATTGAACAATACTATACCAATAAAACATCTGCAGCATCTTCCGACATTAATAGCTTTTCTTTTAAATGTTCAATCAAATTTTCCAGATTTTCAATACGCTTAAGAAGATTCCTATTCATTCTCTGTAAATTTTGAATTCTTTCTCGCCTTTTCAAATCATTAGCTTTGACGAATTTTATAATTCTTCTAGCTTTTCTAGGAGTTTTTACATCAGGTGTCATCAGTTCAGAAATGTAGCGAGGTTCCATGTATTTCCGTTTCTTTGGTGTAGAACATAATTCTATTGTTGGACCTCAAATTTAAAAAATATATGCTTATGTGTTGTTACAATCGGAAAAATAAATACAATACATTAAACTTCAAGACCGTAAATATATATAAATACACAACTAAATAATAAAATTTTAACGGTCTAAGCTAGATCTTAAATGAGCTAGATCTTATATTTAATCATACCAATTTAATAATACTAATGTTCATATAGGCGTATTAGAAAGATCTTAATAATTTGCTGATAAGCATCTTAAAAACTGTAATAATTTTACATACATTAATGTACTTACTCGATATGCATGTATTTATAAGAACATTTGTTGATGTTTGCGTTTCTTGTGGTTTGATAACTTCTGCTGCCTCAAGTGTGACAACTTCTGTATAAATTTCCATAGGATTTATGTACACTTGTGATTCTACATTATTGTCATTGACAATTCTGCTTTTTTTTTTGGTCAACTCTATTTCTATTTCTTTCTCAGATGTTTGCCGTTTGCGAGAAATAATTGAAGGAATTGCTTCTGAATTCAATGATTTCTTTTTTCCAGATACTGAAGTGTCCCATTTGAAATCTTCAGCACAAAAATGAGAGGAGCAAATGTACAATGCTTTTACATCATCAGCTTTCCTTAATCCGCAAAATTCTTTCCATCGTAAACAAATCATTGCATTTTTTGGAAATCTTAAAAGAATATTTTTATGGTTATAACTTAGGACGTTGGTTGATATATATATATACATAGAGCTAATATATACTATAAACTTACTTGTGTAGGCAAATATTTCCATTTTTTGTTTGTTTCTTATTACATAAATAACAATACCTCACCATTTTTTAATTGAAAGGCTGACCTGACAATAATTATAACTGATTGTAATAACCTACAATATATCACATGTAACACTTATCGCGCAACAAATTGACGCCTGCGCGTTACAACAAACTGAACATAAATAAGGACAGAATTAGCATTGGCGGCACCGTAGTGTTTCGACCGCAAACCACGCCTCACTAGCCATATAGTAGTATTACATATATGGGTTATACTATGTTTAGTGCGTACGCGACATACATTCGAGTTCGAGAAATAAATCGAGCGATTGCCATAAGAAACAAATTGAGAAATAAACGAAAATTGTCAAAAGTTATAAATAAAAAAATTGATTAACATTTCCACGTTTTTTTATTTGTACGTAACCTTCCTCTGAAAATTCTTCAAAATTTTTCTCCATTATGGAATATATGTAATCATTCCCTAACAATTTTTATATTTAATAAATTAATACAATACAATACAAAGAAAAGCGTTTTATTTTTTAGATATTCATATGAAAACTTTTCAAAATACTGATTGACTTTAAAATGTCACTTTGTGTTAAAAATTTCCTTTAATATTTTTTAATATAAATATTATATATATATACAGTATTTATATTAAAAAATATATAATATATGCAGAACTTCCTCGTTTACGATGGGTAATGATCTGACATTGGATAACTCCATTCATTACGACAGCGAGTATGTTAATAATGTTAATATAATTCGAACATGCCAAGCGTGTCTGAAAATACTTTTTTAGTTGAATATTTTGCTTTCCAATACATACTATTATACATAATTTATCTTTCTGTATTAATAATATTATGTAAGATTCGCGCGCGAACATCCGAGCGGTACGGACGTCCTCTGCTGCCCGCTTCGTTTTGTCTCCTGTGCTTCCTTGACCTTGGTCAACCTTCCCGGTATTCTGGGGCTTTCCAGAGAGAACTTATTCTCTCTTTATATACTGTGAGTACACTCAGATTTGCCTGGCTTTTCGTAATTCCGGTAACATTCGCTGTTCCGGCCCAGCGATGATGGCCGGTCCCCCCGCCCCGCCGGACCCCGGCGGTGGCCCGAGGGCGGTCAAAAAGCGCCTTTCTGCCTCTCTCGAGGATTTTAACTCTTTTTTTAGACGCGTACAGTGCGATAATGATGATGAGCTCGAGCTCGTGGCGAGCACCAAGGTTATGCAACCTCCATCGAATCATTATAGGAAACAATCCCAACCGTCTATATCACCAACTACGCACAATGCGGAATCTAGTAACGGCAACATAAAGAAAAGAAACAAGAAGGGAAGTTCCCAGCAATCCTCTCGCGATCGCGTTCATCCTTATGCTTCTTCTGTTTCTCCATCTTTGCTAACTCGTCTTCGCTCTCGATCACGATCTCCTGCCGCGATCGGTTCATCGCAGAACTCGGATATTTCATCGCTACATGAGGAAAACGACGACAACAGAATGGTCATCGAGGACGATGACGATTCTGCGGTCTCAGAAAAATCGCATCCTCCCTCTACGCAAATGAATTCGTCTTCCCCTGCGACGGGTGTACCTCCTTCTGAGGTCTCACCTTCGCCGGGAGTGGCTTTATCGAACGATGGCGGGGGGCATTCCTCCGGTAAGCGTGTTCGGGAGGTCGCATCGTCTGCGGGGGAACCCCCTGCGAAGGTGGCTTTCAATCGTCAGCAGGCGCGAGACAACGTGGCAAATAACCTCAACCTAACCTACGACGAAGGGGACATCCCCCCTTTCATTATCTTTTTTAAACGTAATGCGAATAACGATGGTGGTGATTCTCGTCTTGACCCGGTAAATGTGGCACGTGTCATGACTCGCATAGCCAAAAATAAAATTACGGAGATCAAATCCTCGGGCCGTAACAAGGTTGCCGTCTATTTCAATGACTTTGTAATCGCTAACCAAGTTCTCTCGCATCCGTTAATCAAAGAGAGCGGTCTCTCTGCTTCTATTCCTCCCTTCCGAGTTATACGTACTGGGGTGATAAAAAATGTTCCGTTGGACATCTCAGAAGACGACATTATTAATCATTTCGCCTCCCCTTATAAAATTGTTTCAGTTAGGCGTCTGAACATCAGGACACGTAAGGACGGTGAATTAATCCTCTCACCATCGCGCACGATCTTGGTGAAATTTCGAGGGCAATGCTTACCGCGATCAGTTACTTACTTGCACATAAATTTTCCGGTTTTACCGTACTTCCCACGAGTACTTATGTGCTTTTCGTGTTTAAGATACGGACATGTTAGCTCAGATTGCAAGAGTAAACCTCGCTGTGCGCGCTGCGGCTCTCACAAGCATCCTAAAGTCGAGGATTGCCCTCGCCTGCATTTACCGCCTGTTTGCTGCAACTGCGGGGGGGAATATCTGCCCTCCTCCTCGGAATGCCCCGCATACGTGCGTCAAAAACAAATTTATGCTTATGCGACTATTGAAAATCTTTCTTATTTGGAGGCGCGCCAAAGATTCGCAACATCCTCCCCGTTTGCTTCTCCCTCCCCCCCTAATCTCTTTCATCACTCTGATTTTCCTGCGCTCCCTAAACCTCCTCCCCCTCCTCATCCTTCGCGCTCACCCCCCAGGTACGATGACCCAGTAGCATCGCACGCTGTTGGTGCTTCTTTCATAGCCCCTGACACACGGCTCTTCCCCGGTCGCTCCTATGCGGATACGGCTAGCTCCATCTCTTCTCACAAACCATCTGATTCCCCTCAGATCTTTGCCTCGCGGAGTTATCCTCCGAGCTCAATTCCACGTGCTCCCCCCTGCGCCGACGTTGGCAGTGTTCGGGCTCCGGCGCATCGTCCGACGGACGCCTACGCTAAGATACGAGAATCGCATAACGCCTTGCTTTATTCGCCTAATGGTCGACCTCCTAACTATGCCAACCCCCCTGCCCCTCCCCTATTCCCTAATAACCCCACCGCTCCTTCTGATCCCCTCCCTCCTTCATCCTCCTCCCCCTCCACCACTCCCCCCTCCCTCCTCACTTCTGCTCCTAACTCATTGCAGTACGGTATCTCACAAATAATCCAGATAATTGTTTCTCTACTTTTTCAAATGCTAAATAACAATCCTGAAGTGCCTCCTAATTCTAACCTTAGTACGGGACTCTATAACATTCTCAACGCTCTTCAAGCACTCACTAACACACAATGAATAACTTAAACGCACTTAGGATTCTTTATTGGAATTGTCGAGGCGCACTTAGCAAAAAGGCTGAAATTGAGAAGCTTGCCGAATCCTTTGACATTTTATTCCTCGCTGAAACTTGCGTCAGTTCACTCCATCACTTCCGTGTGCGGGGCTTTGATTGCCTCCGCATCGATGCGGACATGGCCGGCGTCAGAGGTATGATCGCCCTTATCCGCAATCCTATTAGCTATTCTCCCCTCGATCTCTCTTCAACAATAGATAATTCTTTTGAAGCCTTGGGCATCAAACTTTCTTCTGGCAACTCCTACCTTCACCTCATAGGTATTTACAGGCATCCCAACGTTTCTACTTCCGTTAATACCTTTTCTTCACTCTCCATTTTTATTCATGATCACGATCCTTCTATCCTCCTTGGAGATTTTAACGCACACCACCCCATGTGGTATGACACGCGCACCAACTCTGCCGGGCGCATTCTCGGTAAATGTATCGACGATCACCATCTGGTGATCCTCAACCCCCCCGCCTCTCCTACTTACATTTCTTTCTCTCCTCCTCGGTCTTCGACCATTGACCTCGCTATTGCATCTCCTCGCGTCTCCTCGCTTTGCGAAGCGCAGATCCTCCCCGACCTTCACGGAAGCGATCACTATCCCATCACTGTACGCGTCAACTGCGTAGTCCGTACATCTTCCGTTTTTTCCTACAAAATCTCCCTTACTAAAGCTCAGTGGATTGAGGTTGGGGGATACCTTCGCGATAACTCCAATGCTATTCTTCAAACTATTAACTCCATTCAGGATCCTATTTCCCAATACAACACCTTCCTCGAACTCATCGCTGCCAGCTATGAGCGCTTCTCTCCGTCGAAGCGCCCCCCTTCTTCTCCAACTTCTAGCTCTCCTGTTACTCACAAAGGACCCCCACCTGCACCATGGTGGACACCGGAATGCTCGGAGGCGATCGGATGCCGTGGTTATGCCCTCAAAACCTTCAGGCGGAATCCTTCTCACGATAACTACGTGTATTATCGTTCAGTCGCATCCCAAACTCGTAAGACCCTGCGCAGAGCTAAGCGTCGTAGTTGGAAAACTTTCTGCGGATCCCTAGACTTTAAAACTCCTACCGCGGAAATATGGCGTATGCTCAAACGTTTTCGTAACCGCCGGCTTCTTCCGGCTAATTCTAATGTCTTTAATAAAAATTCGGACAATTCAGCAGTAATCCAAGAAACTATCAACAAGCTTTGTCCTCCCTCTTGTCTCCCTCCTCTTCCCGAAATTCCACAACATTACCTAGGTAATCTTGGCTGGTTAGACTCTCCCTTCTCTTTCGACGAACTCCATCTGGCGCTACAATCCGTCAAATCCTCCTCTAGCCCGGGCCTGGATAGGATCGACTACCGCTTGCTTAAAGCCCTTCCTTCTACACTCCATTCTTGTCTCCTCTCCATTCTCAACAACCTCTTTCGCTGCTCAACTTTTCCAAACCAATGGCTCCATTCTCTTATTCATCTCATTCCCAAACCCAACAACAATGGTGTCCGACCTATTTCTCTTACATCTTGCATGCTCAAGATAATGGAGAAAATGATACTTAATCGCCTTTATTGGCTTATTGAATCTCCATTCTCGGATTTTCTTCCTGACAACCAATTCGGATTTCGCAAATTCAGATCCTGCCAGGACAACCTGACTGCTCTCGTCACCAGTATCCACACGGGCTTCTTGGCAAAACAGGATTCCGTAGCCCTATTTATCGATATTAAATCTGCCTTCGATAATGTCTT